CAGTGACAGTGAGAACAGCCACTCTGCCATCTTGTGAGATACCATGATTGACTATTATGGAATAGAGAAGGAGGATCCATCAATTTGGGACATCTTTTGTCTCAGTTGAATTTCTCTTGAAAGTATGCAGTTTCAAGCAAGTTTTGATTGATTACTTACCTCCTACAGATCCAGGAGCAAGCATTCCACTAACATATTGAACTTTAGTAGAATAATTTCTATTACCAAAAGTGGTATTAATCTCAGTAGCATTCCTTACTAGTCTATCTCTTCAGATATTTACAGATCAGTTTAGGTTCTTTCATGTGTTTCAAGAGGGAGGTGTATCTACCTTCCTAGATTGTAACCATTGGAAATGATTTTATGAGATTTTTCTGAATCTTCTTCTGAAGAAACTGTTAAGAATAATGCACCACTTGAAGCCTTTGCACCATCTTGACGCCAATAACTAGACATTTTTTTTGGAAAGTTTGGTTGTAGGTTTGTAGGGACTCATTGAGGATCTATGAGAGAAGAATTTTTGGCAGGGGATCTTTGCTTACCGGAAATGGTTTCCTCCTATCAAGGATTCTAAACAACTTCCTAGTAAAGGGTCACCATAATCTGTTTTTAAGGTTATGATAGCAAAATTGAGGTCAATCTTGAAAATTTATTGAGAGCAATGAATAGATTTTGCCATCACATACCTTGACGATATACCTTTTTCTGAAACCATTGGATTTAATTTCATCAATGCAAATGTAAGTCAGAAAATAAATCTACTGGAAGACTGAAAAAAGTTGAAAAAATTGACTCAACTTGATTCAGCCAACCATTTCCGTCACCTAGATTGGCTGATTGAATATCGCCTAAATGAAGTCCTAAACATTCTTGAGAACTGAAAGCAAATAAGTTGACAAAGTGGACAAAATGGTTTATGAGCAATGAGTTGAATAATATTGCCTGCGGTAAAATTGTGATATGGTGATGAAGAATAAGACAAAAGAATGATAGAAATGACTCAACAATCCGATTGATTTGGCAAATTTTGCAAACCCTGAATCAGTAAGGACTTCAGGTGAACTTTTTGCAGAAATGATCACCTAGTTTTGAAATAAAACAGAAAGTTGAACAGAATAGGGGAATTAACCTTCAGGATTGAGTCATCTGAAGATTTTTGTGCTTAAAGAGGATATCCAATATTCACATTTAAGGGTTCACCTAAACCATTGGAAGGAATTTTATTGAGACTTTGACCTCCTCCATCGGAAGGCAAATAATAAGGAACCTTATTATCATTGTTGGATGTTGAGTTTTGACATAGGCAAGTTATCATAATGAAGGAAAGATTGAAGCGGCTTGAAGAAAAACAAATCATCTATTCTTGTTTTTTGTTTAAAGTATGTGAAGGAGGGATTAGAATTTGATACAACTTTTCAGGTAGGGGAATTGTGTCGCGAAAGGCTTTATGTATTTTCTTTGGTGGAAAAGAGGCCTTTCTTGGGAGGTAGATGACAAAGTGTTTTGATCTATTTGATGATCAACAAAAAATGTTAATCCTCCGCAGGTTCGAATAAAAACTTCAATAGGAGATGACAAATTCCGAAATCAAGGAACTCAAGTCAGCAGCGGTAACAAGTGTAAGAGGAGGGAGCCAAAGTGATTCAGATAATTACACAGCTGATGAATGTTTAAGCCTTCTTTTTCTTAAATTTTGAGACTGACTCCTGATGAGAAATTGGGAGCTAGAATTGTTCGAGAAGTGAACTGATGCTGTTAAAATCTGACCATTTTAACAAGTTATGCAAGAACTGCCTTTGTGTGACATTTGTTGTCAAGAGCTAAAAACCATTTCTCGACTACGGGATCTGGATAGAACACAATTTTGAACTTCAAACTCTAACTAGGGTGACATACCTCGGTGAAATCGGTCAAAGTGCCATTTTTGCGACAATCTCAAGGAGCAGGATCTGAAAATGGCTCGGTAATTTAATTCAGCAGTTCAATTATTTTGAGAAAAAGATCGGGCAATCAGCCAAAATGCGAACGCGGCCTGTTAAATGTGTCTGTAGATAGGATATATGAGCCCCAACATTGGTGCAAACTGGTCAAATTTTAGCAAGAAGACAAAGAATCATCAACATTCTGCATACGCGCTGTAAAGATCGCCACATAGTCGAGAGATGATTTTTGCCAACTGTAAAGTTATGATGTCAGTGAGGTTTCATGTCAAATGTTTTTTTTTGTGTTCATGCCGTCTACTAGGTTGGCAATGAAACGCTGGATGATAAGCGTAATCTAGCGCGAATCTTCTAGATATCCAAGGCAAGAGTTCAATAGACGCTGTTCAACTGTAGCTAGTTGCAAATCCAATTCCATTGTTGCAAAACAATAGCTCTCCATAGTGTGTAAGTAGTCACGAACACGAATTTCATCCCGCCTTGCCTGATCATTCCGCGTACTATGGTGTCAAGGATAGTCGTGTTAGGAAATTAATTGGTTTGAAGTTCGTTTGAGTAAATCTCGATATTCCCCGATTCTTGCTCGGAAGGAACCGCGGTCCAGCTGTGATGGTGAGAACCGCTACTTTTCCATCTTGTGATATACCATGATTTACTGACAAAATCAGTCACATGATAATCAGCCTTGCATGTCCCACTCCAAAATTTGACCCAGTTGACCTATGAGCTTGAGCAGCTTTTTGGGTCCTGAATTAACTTACCTCCTACATTACCTGCAGGGAGCATACCATCTACATATTCTACCCGAGTGAAATATTTTCTGTTTCCAAAGGCTGTGTTACCTGTAGTAGCATTAGCTACTAATCTGTCTCTGTATCACGAATTTGTCAGTCTTGTAATATACATTATACCTGAAGCTCTTTGCTGACATGGCGGAGAAAGGTGGAACCCTTACCTCCCTAGATTGTAGCCATTGGGAACTATAGTATGTGAATGATTTAAATCTTCTTCTTGCGAAACAGATAAAAAAAGGGCCCCACTTGATGCTTTTGTGCCATTTTGACGCCAAAAACTGGAGAGATAAGATTTGAAAGACAACATATGAATAAAGTAAGTATAATCAAGTTTTTTCTGGAAAAATGTTGACGGTTGGAGATGAATTACCGGAAGTGGTTTCCTCCTATGAAAGTTTCCAAACAGCTACCGAGGAATGGATCACCAAAATCTAGTTTTATCATGCATGAAAATTTATTATTCAGAATGATGATGATGGTCAAGAAACAAAAATTGATCAAAATTGTCTCTGTTCACAAAATTTTGTCAAACTGAAGTCGAGAGGTTTAGGAAATATTTTTGTTACCTTGACGAAAGAGCTTTGTCTGAAAATAACGAATTGAAGTTTGTTGATGAAAACATTAAAGTAAAAAGTATCCAAAAACAGTTTTTTTGTTCTTAACTTACCTCATTTACCCACCCATTTCCATCACCTAGATTAGCTTTCTGTAATTCACCTCTATGAAGTCCCAAACATTCTTGAGAGCTATATGAATCAAACAAAATTAAAATCTATATAACTTCTGTTTCACTTTTTCGAAAAAAATCTTTACATATGATGGAACAAGATAGAAAATAAATGAAACTCAACAATCCAATTGATTTAGCAAAGTTTTGTATACCTGAATTTGTTAGGATTTCAGGTGAGCTTTTTGCAGAGATGATAACCTTGTTTTTTCAAATGGTGTATTTTTGAACAACGAGCAACATATAAAGATAGTTTAATCTTCAGGATTTGAATTCACATTCAGAGGTTCACCTAAACCCGATATTGTGGCTCTGTTGAGACTCGTACCTCCTCCTTCAGATGGCACGTAATAAGAAATCTCGTCGGAAGTCGAGTTTGCAAGTAAACAATTTATGATTAAGCAAAAATGAATCAGTAACCAGTTTGAAGAAAACATTGAAAAATAATCAAGAATAAATTTGGTCTTGAAAGCGAATGCGAAGAAGGTAGAAAAACAAGATAGTACCAAAGCATGAGATCATGCACCTTCAACCAATCTAGAATAGGAGAGGCTCAATGCCTTTATATCAGTCTCCAAAATCAGTTTTGTGAGCTTTGATGTAGCGTTGATCGGTTCAAGAATGTACTAATGTAATTCCTCCACAGGTTTATGAACATTCAGTGACTGAGATATCTATATTTCCAATTGGAGAAATGCATAGGGAGTCAGAAGTGGTGAGCGAAGGGGGTTAGCTAAGGTAATCAAAGTTGCATAGCGGATGATTTTCGAGACTTTGCAGCTGTTGAGGTTTACTCCTGACTGAATTATAAAGTGAAGTTGAAGCCTCTGGGGGCCTGGTGGGACTGATCATCAAACAATTGATTTTCAATTTGAAGTTTCTAGTATAGAAACTGTCTGTCTAAGATTTTTCTCAATGGCTGGATCAGACTGGGAGAATCGAGACTAACACATGAGTTCAATGAGGCTTCGTGAGGACTCGGAGTATATTGGGCGCGCTTCTCGTAAGTTGCCTCATGATGAGCGCAATTCCTTTAGATACACACAGAAAGAATCTAACTTGAATATTGTTTAAGGTTGCACTTTGAACTCACAGTCTATGTGTAGGTTTTTTGTAAGTAGTCAAGATCATCGGATACAAGTTGAAATATCATCGCCATCAGATGACCTTTCATTAGGAATCTATGTATTCACCTTGATTTGAAGCTTTATGCGTAAACCGGGCTCTCCTCACACTGGGCTAGTGAAAAATGAAGGATTTATGTTATCACTACATAGATACTCCCCTAAACTGTGCTTCTAATCTGACCTTCCGACCAAGAGTGCAATCTCCAGCCATTATCTAATTATTCCCATCACTCCTAGGCGAGTTTTCAGGATTCCCTGGTCAAGAAAACGTTGTTTAATTGACTTACAGATATCACGAATCAGAAAAGGGGCGGCTCGTCGAGATACGAGAAGCAGTATACTGAGTGGCCCCCCCAAGAGGGTTTGGGGCCTGGGCTACATCTGACTTGTTGTCGATTTTTCTTACATACCTATCAGCTCAATACTTACTCTGAGTCTCATCTCTACCGAGCTCGGCCAATGGATTTCTCGGATCAACTTTTTTGACACGCATCAGGTGCGCCAGACCTGTCAAAGTTTCGTGACATCCAGTCCAGTATACCATTTGCACAGCGCTTGCATGTGCATCACCTCAATATCCCTTGCGCACCAGTCAGAAACGAGGCTTAAGTACACATTTCTTAACACATATGTAATCAAACCTCACTTCCATGTACTACATAAGTAAGTACACTTGTTGCTGGGAGCTTAGTTCAGTTTGATTCATAGTGCACATCATGTATGTAATACATATACTAGCATGGTAAATAGATCTCATGTAGCAGTAAACTTCATATCATGGCATCACAGGCACTTGTTATAGCTTGTTTTCTGTGAGACTTGAGGATCAGTGGCCAGGTGCTTTGAACCCCCCAGCACCCAAGCACATGTGACTGACTCATATAAATCATGTTTAAGGAGCTCTCTTGAGTTTTTCAATGAAAAGGCAGATAAACTGTCCAACTTGGTCAACCAACATGGCTGATCCTTGATGCTTATTGAAGAATCTGGGACAAGCACCTTTAAAAAAGGTTTAGCTAAATATCACCAAATCACATTCTTCCCTCTCTTGAAGTCAGCTCAAAATCACAATGTCTTGCTCTTGTCCTTGTGCCCCCTGTTTTACCAAGCCTCAAGGGAATGGGTCTGTCACTCAGCAAACAATCTCAAACCATCTTGCCAAAGAAAAACTAGCTCCTTCAAAATTGTAGCACCTACAATTACATCTGATACAAGGAAATGGACATTCTTGTTGCTAGTATTAGTTATCTACCTACAATTCATTGCAGGAATATCAAACAAATAAGCCAACACCACTTCTCTAGTTACAATGAAGAGGATTCTTAAAACTTGGATCACAGCCCTTACAAGAAGAAAAAGCTCAAATATCCTGTGGACATCCAAACAGCCTTATCTCTATTGAACATCAATCCAGCAGTTCATTGGACAATGCTTTGTCCTTCCTGTTTTCAACTTCACAATACATCTGTGAGGAGTCAGCAACTGTTGGGCTAACTCTTCACTAAGAAAAGTAAAGAGTAGTCAACGATGAAGCCTTCACTTGTTACACCCAAGTGAAGACTACAGTTAGTTGACCTCTAATGAGAGGATTTGTGGCCAGTGGGATGGCTAAGTAGTCCTTCTAAGGATCCTACTCTGAGCTTGGGTTGATCTTACAACTACCAAGCCTGCAGTACTTTAGACTCTGAAGAATCAGAGGTGCCGCTGGGTACTTTAGACTCTCTAATGAGGTGCCCTTTGTAAATTCCAAGCTTGTTCTGTTAGCTATTGGTCCCACAAGCTCAGAACACTACTTGAGGTTTTACAATGACCTGAACAAAGACAGAAAAGAACTATGACAATCAAAGTACAACAATATCACTGTACTCAATATTCTTGGTGAAGAATCAAGTAAGTTGTGATGATGAGTTGTGTAATGATATGAAGTTCTTCTTCTTCCAGAGTGGGAAGAAGAGGGGTTTATATATTCCAGACCTAGGCGTCAACTTGTGGTTGGCACTTAGGTTTGCTTTTCTTTTGAGTTAGGTTTGGGTTAGGTTTTACTATGAGGTTAAAAGTCTTGTTACTTAAGTGACTCTTGAAACTGAGCCATGAGTTGTAATTCTTATGGTTTTAAACAAGTTTCATATATTTACATATTATTTACATATGTATTACATGTGTTTACATGTGTGTTTGTTAGTCCGTGGTCCTGTACACAGGGCTCAGGGCTGACAACATCAACCAAGACCAGTGAATACTGTGAAGAGTCTACCATGCAATTCACTTATTGAAATAATGGCATAAGATCTGATTGAAGCCATAATTCCATTGCTTGTCTCAATCTCTTGTGAAGCAGGAAATTCACCACCAGCGCATGGTGGCATGAAAATGTTGAATATAATCATTATCAACCTTCAAGTTGCCATCAATAACAGTGATCTTGAACTAATGTGGGTTTCAGAGGCGGCATTATTACCTGGAGGTCCATCACAAGTTTTGAAAAATCCCTCAACCAAATTTTGCTAATAGTAAGATGGAGGATTGGGTACTGGCTCACTATCAGTCTTGCACTTCATCAAGAAAAGGGCTAATGTGTAGCAGCTGGTCTATTGAGACACAAGTACAGCAATAGTATTTTTCAACATGTAAGAAAAAGACTTACCCAAAACTTGAAGTTGTTACCAACATTCTCCAAGTTGACCTCTTCCAAACCCTGAATGGGGCTGTGTTTCTTTAACTTTGCCAGAGTGATTGACTTTCTGGTAGATCACCTGGTTTTGGGGAGGGAAATAGTTGAAGATTTGCTCTTTACATAGCTAGGGTTGAGTGCAAGTTGCAACATTGTGTAAAGGTTTCTTGATATTTTCAACATCCTCTTCCAATCATCAGGTTTCTTATTCCAGGTATTCAAAGCAAGGTACTGAAATATTGGGAGTAGGATTATTACTAGTGGGGAGATTCAAGGTACAGCTAGAAGCACTTTTGGTGGGCTGCCTATTGCCAGGGTTGCTGGGTGTGGAAGTGGTGTATTTGATATTTGGAAGGACTGGTTCAGTTGATTACAAAAATACATGATGTGAAGAGACAGTTTTTTTTTGAAATGATGGAAGAATTCAGCCAAAAAGTCCAAGTTGGGAAACTCTGGCTTTCTCTGGGTTTTTAGTTTGTATCCCATAATTGTCTATGATTTCACAGTTTTCCATTATTTGTGGTAATTTTTGTTTGATTCATAAGGTTCTGCGCCACAAATTGTCAACATTGCTTATCATGCAACTCAAATGCTTTGAAGCCTCTTCAAGCTAGGTCATGATGTGAGATTAGAAGACAGAAGAGCAAGTTGATAGTAATTACAATTTGTGGATATTACCATTGGAGTTGATAAACCAATATTTATTGATCACAAAGTTTACAATGATTCTACTTTCAAAGCATGCATCTTGAGGACAAGATTATGTATAATGAAATACTATTGGAAAATTGGATAATGGACTATGTTAATGCACCAACCCAACCCGGAAAAATCGGGTTGGTCCCAGAACCAGGACCGGTTTGGGTTGGTCTCAGAAATGCTTTGAGGAAAATTAGGCTGACCCTGTCTGGCCTTTTTCTAAGGAAACAGGGCAAGTTTTAGTGAAATGATCCTCAATTTCTACAAAAAACTGCAAATATCATTTCTTCAAATTGCCAAAACTGTATGGGCTATTGGTTCCATCCTAGGCTTTTATAAAGGTATCTGAAGCTCAATCAAGGATTTGAGCCTATCTGGTGTCAATCTCATGGGTGGTTGGTTCTTCCAGCAGCTGTCATTGAGTTTGGGCAATCAAACCGGGTTAGCTTGTTTTGAAATTGAGCTGATCCCGGGCAGTCTGAGAATCCCGGGGTCAGGACCGGGTCGCGGCAATAACTAACCTTAAACTTGACCAATGCCCACCGGAGCCCGCGGTATCTGCAAGCCAACTGCCTCAACCATTCTTCTAACCAAGAACCACCCTTCAGCAATATTTCTCTCCTCATGGGCAGCCAGTGATAAATTGCTGCTCAGTGAAGTGATGATGTCAAACCAATATCTCTGATCAAATCACCCCCTGGATGATCACCTGGGCTTTCTGGGGAGGTTTCACTCTCATATTCGTCATCATCCTTTCTATTTGTCTTAACACTCAATTTAAGTCATGTGTGACGATGAGAATCTGGGCAAGTGCAAAGCTTGTTGCGGCCTCTTTTTTTGCAGTCCCTGCGCCTGCACGGTGACGTCATGAGTATTTGACGTATGGGATTTTTGCACTGCACATGACCCGATTGCGAAGAACTTCAGTTCAACAAGGTAG